ATTGCCACGAGCTCGTCCCCCAGTAATTGATTCCTTCGCACTCTTGCCCGGGCCCTTATCTACCCTCCCTTCCCCTCGTTCCCACCCTCCGAAAGAAGATGAGCCTCTCACTCCCGTTCCGACCCTCCGACGACCCTGCTCAGTCGCTATCCAAACCGATCAACCTCTCCAAATCGAACAGTCTCCGTCGCCTATCCCCGTCGCCCTCCATCTCGCACGCCCGCACGCCGAGCGATTCCCGCTCCTTCCTGCGTCAGCGCTCCGTCGAAAATGTCGCCGGCATTTCGGCCCCGGGCACGAAAGCTCGGCGCCACAAGTCACAATACCCTCGCGACTCCTCCGATCGCCATGTCGAATACATCCTCGTCGCCTCGTTTCACATTGATCGGGGCCCCATCATGGAGCACCAGTACCCGGCTGCCATCAGTGGCGACGAGAGCATGTTGGCAGAACTGATGCTTCCGGATCAGACCCACGTTCGCAGCCAGGATTGGACAATATTCTTTCTGCATAAGGATACTAGCGCCGACGAAGATGACGACTCCGTGACCGGCAAGCCGAAGAAGAAAAAGAAAAAGAAGGCGGACCGATCTCCGGTGGATGGTGACCCGGAAAGTCAAGAAGAGGATGCCGACGAGGCCAGCGATGACGACGAGGAGAGTAGCGACGAGGAGGAAGGTGGTGAGGGCCCGCCTTTGATGTATGTCCTCAATCTTGTAAATACGAAGCAGGATAATACGGTGAAACGGTATGTGCTTCCCATTCCCCGCCCCGGTTGTGACAGCATGAGGCGCGGCATTGGCTAAGAGGCTCTATACAGAGGTGCGGTGGTGAAGGCCATGGCTATATGTACCCGACACTCGTTTCTCCATATATATAAGGTATGTTCATACCCGTCTGGTGTTCGAGAGGGAATTCAAGAACTGACCCTGGGATTCGATAGCCCCTACTCCTCCTGGCCTTGGAGGATTACTTCAAATCCCCCTATCCCGAAACTCTCGCCTCGCTGTACAATGCGGTGAACAACATGGACCTCTCGTTGATGCCGAAAATGTCCCTCCTCGAACGGCAAATACTGCAATCGAGCAATTCGAAAGACATGTTCATTGAAAAGTTCGAGCAAATGGCTCACCAGCGGATGGCCGACGAAGGACAGGAGCCTGACTACGATCTTGAATCTCCACCATCCCCCAAGAGGCCGGCACCGCCCCGGTACGCGCTCCCCCGAGACACACATGAGTACGAATCCAAAGTCGTCTACAATGATATCCCGATTCCGGTCAAGGTGCCGACGGTGATTTGGCCCGAAATTGTCGGCGACTTTTCGTTGATCAAGCTCGTCCAAACCTTCTCCGTCCCCCATGCCACCACGCCTCAGCCGTTCCCAATTCACCCCCATCTCACCACCAGTGGCCCTTATACCCATCCGATCATCGTTCTCGTGAACGCAATGCTCACCCAGAAGCGGGTGGTCTTCCTGGGTCACAACCGCCCCTCCGGTGAGGTGGCGGAGGCGGTGTTGGCTGCCTGTGCAATCGCGTCAGGCGGGATCCTTCGGGGATTCACCAGACATGCCTTCCCCTACACTGACCTGACCAAGATTGATGACCTCCTAAAAGTGCCGGGCTTTATCGCTGGCGTGACGAATCCCACGTTCGCAAATCACCCCGAATGGTGGGATCTTCTCTGCGATCTCCCGACCGGCCGAATGAAAATCAGCAGCCATATCGAGCCGGCGCCGGTCACCGAAGGGCTGCTGTATTTCCAACAGCAGTCGGCTCTCCACCACCACCCTGTCAACGTGCAGACCGATCCCACAGGCGACAATCTGTTCATGGAAGATGTGCAGCGAAGCATCACCAATCGGTATGGAGAGAATGCCATCCGAGCGAAATGGCGTGCCTACATAACCAAGTTTGCGCGCGTGGCTGCCGCCTTCGAGGAAACGGTTTACGGTGCATCCAATCTCTACATCATCGGCCCCAATGAGGAATTGTCGCCCGAAAGCCCCAGCGGGCTCCAGGCCGACCCTCTCGACCCGACGACATTGCGAGGGCATGGTTACGTTTGGCCCGACGAGGGTGCGAAGCAGCGGGAGCTCCTGGCATCCGTTTCCCGAATCGAAGGATGGCGAACCACGCGATCTTACTACTCATTCATTCAAGACATTGCCGCCATGTATTATCCGGCACGGCCAATCCAAAAACCCGACTTGGCCCACCACCATGACCGACTGCGGGCTCTAAAGCTCCCGGCCCAGGAGGCAGGGGCCATCTACATCGCCTTTGCCCACGCGGTCAAGGACTATGCCGGCATCTGTCAGCTCCTCACCGTCACACCGGAAAACCAAGCCGGCCTATTCTACCTGAGCATGGGTCTTTTCCACCCCGACCAGACCGTGCGCGAGGCGGCTGTCGATTTGCTCGAACGGATCGCCGCCCACCCGGCAGGTCGACATTTCTGGGGCCAGCTCAACCGCTTCGCCAAGCTCGCCTTCTTCCGGATCAAACGGGAGCGAGAGAGCGCACAAAGCCCTATCTCGCCTCCAGAGACGGCGGCGACGGCGACGGCAACAGGATTCGGCGAACCCCAAAGTCTCGTCGGAGTAGCGATGGGCAACAGCGCCTTTCCGAGACCAGGTTGACCTGGCCTGGATCGACTTTTCTTTCACACAGTACATTTCATTTACCTTCACCTTTGAGTCTTAACCTCTCGACCTTCAGCGCCTATACATAACAATCTATACACATCATACAATACCTTTTGTTTATCACGCCCATTCACTGCATGGATGGTGCCGATATCTGTCATTTCCATTTCCATTTCCACCAGCACCCGCCTTCAGTATTTTAGTATATTGAAGTTCAACCCCGATCATGATATGACTGTTTACGACAGAGATATACTTATCTTTTCTCTTTTCATCCTTTATCAAACATCTTTATCTATATCTATATCTTCCTTCTTATATGTTTTATTTAGTTCTTTCATCTTCTACTACTGTGTTTCCGTTCCCTCTCAACATACCTATACTAGGTTGGGTATAACTTTGATTGAGCACGTTTACGAATTCGGCGACGTAGTGGATCGCCTGCGGGTGTGTAATGACTGCGTTATACAGCGAATAATGTTTTTGATTTTGCTAGAGTCCTAAGCTAGGTCTGTAGTGTAAAGAGGTCTACATAAGGACCATCGCGGAGGAGGTGTCGATCGCTACTAGGCGCCGTATACATGGAATCGAACCGTTGTCTGACCACTCCACCTTAGAAAACGTTTCGGAGGCCTGGCCACGCACCCCTATCATATGAGAAAGGGTACGGCCCAGGCTTCCATCACTGTACGTATCCATTACCAGTAGTCAGTATCCCTTCACGGCCGCGGTCCGGCCTCCCCCTGGGGCTTGTCAGTATCAGACTCTGACCCAGGGGTAGGATCCAACCGACCCCCCTGGCTCGATAAGGTCGGGGCCCAGTACCGCCTGGAAGTGCGAAAGACTCGCTATTCGCTCCACGTAATGTTGGATTAAGGTGCTCGATTAAATTCCTACTCTAGTAAGATGTGTTTAGGGGTCTGTGAGATGTAAAGTGAATCAATAGAACCGTGGATGAAACAGGAGTCAAACAGAAATGTGATAAAAGCACATCAAGTGCTCTCAAATACAACCCAGACTGGAAATCTCCTCGCGCTAGAATTAACTCTTGGAGATCGCCTCAACTTCCCGAATTGAACACTCCAGATTGTTGAAACGATCTTTGCACTGACCGGTCTGCGCCCCAGGTGTTTCATCCTTCGTGAGACAGTGGAAGGAAGTTAAGATCTCAAAATGATTTATCCGGACGTAGTGCTACCATCTGTCTGCATCGCGCCTTCTTTCCCGCTTCCGGGGATGCAGTGATAATTTTGCTCAGCACTTCGTATGGCTCCAGAATGAATTCAGTCCCCCGGTGTCCAGGTAAGTGCCATCTTGGGGGCAGGTTGGTAGATCCTGTCTTCATGAGAAGTAGAGATTTCCATCTAGATTATAAGTCCAATGAATCTGTTTGAAGCGCCTCGGGTGCTCTCTCTAATACCTAATTAATTATCATCAGTGCTAAGAGCTGATGTGCCACCTTTGGCCTGCTACTCCTATTTTATTGAATCCCGTTCTTCAGGGCCGCATGCGGACATTCTACCTGGACTATTTTTCTGAGTCCGCCACCATGGGACTCCTACGGTTCGTACGCCGGAGTAGGTCATGTCGGCCTTACTTACGTTCAGGTTTTAATTGCAGGGCCATATAGCAAAACAAAAGACACCCATGAACATGGGACTGTACCAGATTGGCCGCTCGGTTAGGACTGAGGAGCTTTTAGTAAGGTGTTTCTAATCGTTTTTAAGCAACAATTCCGCTTAAAGATTTACCCCACATTATGAATTTCTTACCAAGCATGTTCTTGCGTAGAAATTTGAAGCTAATTTCGCTCAGTGGGGACGAACCGTTAGATCCTATACGCGTACCAGCTTTTGTATATCCTGACGACCCGTGTCTTCTGGAACTTAGGCGCTCCGAGTGGCATTTTATCGGTGGAATCTTGAAAACTAGTTTCACTGGCGGCTTAAACCTACGTCATTGACATCTTACCAGCCATATCGCTGACCATTTCAAACAAAATCGTGTCATTTCTGCACTAGCTTTGTCACATATCTGGCGAGCCGCGACCTCCGGAACTTGGAAGGCCCACCCAGTAGTCAAATTACTTAGGGGGAATTCTCCACCGAACTCGGCAATGACATTTTTGCAGGAGCATCGAGGCACTTATCTGATGGAGCTAGAAAATTCTACGAGAAAACTTTCAAACGAAGATATGAACCCTGGTTTCATGAGCTGAATAACGGGCGAATATATGTGGGGAATGAATGATTGCAGGGAGATATAAAAGTTCCATTGCCCCCGAAGTTGCAGAGCTTTATATTCTCAGATACTTGATCATTTCTCTGGACTCAGTCCGGTATCGAACAACATGCGGTTTCTCCAGGCAGGCTACCAGGCAGCCCTAATTGCTACCCTTGGTGGCGTCACTGCGGCATCCAGCCTCAGAAATCAATCCTATGACTACATTGTTGTTGGCGGAGGACCCGCAGGTATCATCACTGCTGAGCGGTTTGTTGAGGCTGGCAAGAAGGTCCTCCTGCTTGAACGGGGCGTTGGTCCCACTGTTGAAACCGGAGCGAACGAGACTCTGCCCTGGAACCATGATTTGACGCCAATTGATTTGCCTGGCTTGTCTGCGGATATTGGAAACACTAAACAGTGGAATGAGTACATCTGCACCGATACCGAGGGAAATGCCGCCTGTGTCTTGGGTGGCGGAGTGACCGTGAACTACATGGTCTTCGTGCACCCTCCCGAGCACGACTTCGACGACAACAACAACTGGCCTGAGGGATGGAAGTGGAAGGACATCAAGCCTGCGGCAGAGCGACTGTACCAGCGCAACCCCGGTACCACTCTGCCTTCGACTGATGGCAAACGGTACGACCAGGGTCTCCACACCATTCTCTCCAACTTTTTCAGTAACCTTGGCTGGAAGGCTGTCGACATGATCACCCAGGCCAACGAGAAACACCAGACCTATAGTTACCCGTCTTGGAACCTGAAGGACCTGAAGCGTGCTGGCCCCGTTCGCACCTACCTGCCTCTGGCCCAGAAGAGCGAGAACTTCTCCCTGCGTCTCCGTGCTAAGGTGCTTCGCGTGGTGCGTGACGGTAGCAAGGTGACCGGTGTCGAAGTGCAGCTCGCTTCCGGCCGGACTGAGATCGTCCCTCTTGCTCCCCATGGCCGCGTCGTCCTTGCTGCCGGTGCTCTCTCCAGCCCGCGTGTCCTCTTCAACTCTGGAATCGGCCCCAAGAAGCAGATCGAGACCGCCCAGAAGAGCGGTATCAAGGTCCCTTCCGAGGACCAGTGGCTCGACCTGCCCGTGGGTGTTGGCCTTCGGGATCACCCCATCTTCCCCATCTCCGTCCAGACCAACGGCTCCTTCGGCGTTCCCGACTATGACCGCATCCTAAACGGCACCGACTACAAGGACATCGCACTGTACCGCCAAGGAAACGGCGTTCTGACCCAGGGCAAGCACCGCATGATCTTCTTCACCTCGAACGAAATCGACGGCCAGACCCGCTACTACCAAGGCTCCTGTGCTCCCAACGCCGGCTCTGTTCTCGACATCACGGCATACCTGACCCACGGCGCCACCTCCACCGGCGTTCTGGGCATCGACTCGAACCAGAAGACGGTCTTCGAACAGTCCCCTTACATGCAAACCCAGGGGGACAAAGCCGCGGCCCACGCGTTTGTCCAACAGATGATCAACGACATCACTGCCCCAGGAACCGGCCTCCAGTTGCTCACCTACCTGAACGCGTCGGCGATCATCGATGGCATGACTGCCGGCAATCATTACACCAGCACCGCGAAGATGGGTACCGACAGTGGCCTTCACGGTGGCTCGTCGGTTGTGGATACCAACACCAAGGTTTACGGAATGGACAATCTGTATGTCGTTGATGGTAGTATCCACCCTGACCTGCCTACTGGTAACATTCAGACCACCATCATGGTTGTTGCAGAGGCTGCCGCTGCCCGGATCCTTGCCCAGGATGCCCGCCCCCACTTTGTCAAGCACAAGTACTAGAGATGCTGTCGATTGACTCTACATTTCTTGGGTCCGCATTGAACTCGGCAGGCATCTCAAGAAACTATCATTCCCACGTCTTAATGCCCGTCAGGGGACTTGTGTAACAAAACTGTATTTGAGAACGAAGACGAGGAGACAACCATTTAATGCTCGAGCCATTGCTACTCTAAGGCTGATCCACGCAATCACATCGGTCTATGAGTCCGCCTACGTTAGTTAGGCGGAGTCTACTATGATATTTGGCTTCGAGGAATATCTTATGGGCTAGATGCTGAGAAACTGAACTGTATATTAGTTAGGATATAGGGTACATTTGTATAAAAGCTCAATTGTTAATATCTTTTTAGTATTCACTTCATTTTGTCCGACATGCTTAGGACTGTTTCTTACAACTATCACTAGTACCATTCTTTCGTATACAGATAGGGTGTTATGGGGTTTTTTATTATTATTTATTTATTTAATCAAGTTTATTGTCCATACCAAGCCCCTAGGGCTATGACAGACCGTGTGTCGTCGGCCTGAGGCTAGGCCTCAGGCCCCTATCAGTTCCTAGGGCTATTCCCTCGTCTTGTATACATTCTGTTCCTTTTCCTCGCCCCATATCGCCTTCTTGCGCAGGGCCTTTGAGCATGTTTGCTCTCCTTGGGATTCCACCAGGGTGGGTGACGCCTAGGTGTGACCAGGCCACCCTTCCTGTTAGCCTTCTCCGGTCCGTTCAGCCTCCTCTAGAGCTTCTAGGCTTCTTTCATTGTCTCTCTCTTCTCTTTTAAGATCCACACACAAATTTCAAAGCTAGTACATGGACTTGCTTGTCTTAAACACCTAAATTGTTGAACTTCCCAAACTTTCTTACGGTCTATATGAGCCTAGTCTCGATGGAATTTATCATATTATGGTTTTCTATAATTCCAGCATTGGAAAGTTATGCACACTGTGATACATATTGTGTCTTGTTATTTGATTTCAAGCCTATAGTCGTTGTTAACAACCTTGGATGAAGATGGTAACTCAACATCAATAACTACATAGTAATATAAAGCGAAAAAACATCCCAATATGGTACATTTATGCTCTCATATCTCAGATATGCACATTCCAAGAACAAATCTGGTAACCATTCTCTACCATAAATGGCTAGATATCAACACAGAACGGGTGTAGAGCTGAACGCGAAGTCCATTAGCGCACGATTCACGACTGACATATTTCCAAACCAAACCAAGCCAACATACCTCAAGTATGGCTAATCTCAATCCTAGTGCCGGGGTTATTAGCAGGCACATAATAACCCCCAACTTTTCCATTGCTCAGACACGTCTGTTGCACCGCATTCGCCCAGCCAGCGACAGCGCCACAGTTATACCCACGGGCCGTAGAGTCGAAGGTACCGCAGATAGCAATCTTAGCAGAGCCATCCGTAGCGTGGGTCGTACATTTGCTGCCGTGGTTGTTGTTTTGGGCGCATGTTTTGGATTTCTTGCCGTTGAGTTGGTTGATGACGCCTGTCACGTCTTCGGTCTTGGGGCTCGCGTTGCTGGTCTCGCAGGTGATTTGAGCCAGGGCTGGGGCTAGGAGGGCGAGGATGGTGAGAAACTTCATCTTGAAGGTAAGGTCTTCGGCATGTAGGTTAGTACTATTCTTTTTCCAGCGAGGTGGAAGAGTTGAAAGAAACCCACAGATGGGTCGGATGGTCTCAGGAAAGATTGATGGGAGGAGAGTAGTTGTGTTTGTTTAAATTTTGCGAATCGAAGGGAGCGACCTGGTGCTTTATATCGTTTTTCGCCCAGGTAGCCAGGGAATCTCGTCAATTGACCTCATCGCCTGATCAGCTTGGGGCCGATGTAATTCCCCATGGTCGGATACATGCTCCCTCATCTGGATTTCATCGCCAAGATGATAATTGGCCAATGAACTTGTGGCTTTCCATGAAATCTCCCTCAGAGCAAGCAGGATATCAAGGCGATCGAGGACTAAACATTGCCCCCAAACCAGAGAAGGTCACTTGATGAGTGAATTGATATGATATAGTGAGTGAGTGCGTCTATTCGAAGGTGCCACCTACGTAGTGTAGGGTTTCTTAGACTGCATTTCCCAAATTGATTTCCCACTTGGCATGGCAATGGTGGGTCTTGGTGTTTGGACCCGGGCTCTACTCCGTACTCCTAGGCTGTGGAGCCCGAAAACCCCGGCATGCCACGAGGCCTTCACTCACTGAAAGGTGAAAATGGCCCAGGGATCGTTTTTCCGGTGATTTTGGAACGACTATCACTTCGTGATCTACGATGGATGGAAATAACATAGGTACATGAATCATCGTACACAGGCCTTTGTCGAGTACATCTATACTCATATTTATTTTCCCCAGCTCATAGTTTCCTGAAGATATTGCCATCCATGCGCAATTATCAAGCCTGCCGATGAAGGGAGTAGTGAGTAGTACCGCCAAAACGCGAAGACGCAAAGGGACTGAACTAGGTTGTACGGAGTAAGATCTAAATCCTGATGGATTTACAAGACACTGTTGAAACTTGAACCTTCCTTTCTAGGTTTGCTTCAACGAGGTGCATATAGTGCGGAGAAGACTGCTACTCCGTCCTCCGCATCAGCCATTCGGAGACCTCCCGAGTCATGATCCATGAAAGGGAACGACTGTCGGATAAACCCGCCAAGACGGCCCCTGTTCTACGGAGTACGGAGTACGGACTTGTAAGTTGTAACTACTTACTAGTGCGCCAACTTTCTGGTTTTTTCGACATGGTCCACCCAGTTGAATCAGGTCAGTCAACGTTCAGAGCACGGGTGAAAGGGGCTTTAAGGTATTGGCCTAGATAGTCGGGACTCGTGTTTGGGGATCGAGATTGACTGTCTACAGTTGTATTGAATCAAATGGCGCTGGTTAGAATTGAATCCGAGAATCAACGTACAATACTGGTCCAGTATGGCGGGTCAGCCATGTGGGTCAGGATAGGCTCTCGGAACGCATGTGGCTTACGGAGTGGCTTACGGAGTGCAGAAAGCTACCGGTAAAGTCCTCCTTAATGCGTCTTTAGAAAGATATCGCCCTGCTTTAGAAATGATTTTTGCCTTAGCTTCATCTCCAGGTATGATTGCTTACTGTTTAGCCTCTGAAATTTTGCCACCCCCAAGTAAGTCGGGGAGCATTCTTCCTTAGCGTATGAAAAGTGGGTATAAAATAAAATAGTGAATTTAAAAACAAGCCAAGGAATGAGCCAAGCAAGGCCCAGAGACATTTTGCGTGACAATACAACTCGAACTAGTCGGCATCCATCTGTGAGCCGTTCGGACTTTGAATACACTAGAAGTATTGTGAATCATGGAATGAAAAAAGCCCTAGTATCAAAGCTTTTCCATATTTCGCATCGATGTGCTATCGAGCGTTCTCCGGCTCCGTGTCTGGTCTGTAGATCCGTACCATAACAGGTATGAAGTCGTGTGATAAGTTATAATTCCTAATTGAAAATCCTCTGATGATTCTCCGGAGTAGTCCCAGCCCCCAAGAGTACCACAGAGTCAATGCCCCTACTTCATACTCCGTACCCCGATATAGAGCTCGGGCCTATTGTATACCCATAGCGTTCTGTAATAATGGAAATCGATTAATATCTTGTATTTGAACGAGAACCGTTTAATATAATTTTATACAAATATTACGAGCATATCACCTTCGGTAACGTAACGGATATCTAGTATTTCTTCCCAATAACAATTTGACATACACTAGATATTCAAAAACAAAGAGCTTGAGGGGTCATTCTCCATTTTGCTCAATTTTCTTCATTCCTTTCTCCCTCAAGGCGTGAGCATGCGGGAATTCACTAGCCGATAGATTCGAAACGGCAGCCACAGTGAGTTGCTCAATCGAGGCACCGCCCATAATTTGCAGTAAGGGTATATCCACCGCCAACTCTCTCGCAAACCAAGTTCTGAGATCAACCGCAACAAGAGAGTCAAGACCAAGATCGGTCAACTGTGTTCCGGGCGTAATGGGAACATCCGCTGCAAGACTGAATTTACTTCGTACTTTAGCAATCAATGCAGCAGAGACAATCTCTTGTACTTCCTCCATTCGCTTGGCAGACTCCAGGAGAACATTTATTGAGTCTGAAGCATTTGTCCCCAACAGCTGCGATGCAGCTTTGGATGCATAATCGATGAAATCCCACGTGAGAGTGTTCCCATACCAAAAGATATCCGGGTTCTCGGCTGGGTTGATCAACCGTATGCCGATTACGATCTCGGGATTTCGGTTCGACTTTGGATGGCCGGCGAGAATGGCTTCGGCGAACAGCTTGTGCAGATCGCGCTCAGATAGGAGGAGTGAACCTGTTGTCTTTTGGACATGTTCGACCCACCTGCTCCCCTTACGCGTTATATAGCCCACTCCACTGATGAGGCCGGGATGAACGATGCTGCCGACGAGACCGCTGGCTCGACGCCTGCGAATTAGTGATGATTGGAACCCCGTAGCAATGGAGTACGCGGTTTGTTTGAAGTTGCCGACAACGCCGGTTATGGAGCCAAAGAGGATGAAGAATTCTAGATTTGTGTTCGGTCCTGAAAGCTCGTCCAGGAGGAGGCTACCTTGGACTTTGGGTGCGAACGTGGCCTGCAAAACTTCCAGGGTTGTCTCTTCGAACAAATGATCTTCGAGAGAGAGGGCTCCATTTACCACTCCTCCTATTGGGGGGAATCGCTTTTGTTGGATACTGCGGTAGACTTGAATGACTGATTCCCGATCTGCAAGGTCCCTGTATTAAGTCACATGAATGTTAGCTTAATATATGGGAGTTGGGATAGGTAGCAAGCGGGAAGGGTATATACATGGACATTGATAACACCCGTGCTCCTTGTTGCGCCATCTCCTCGATCCATTGTGGGTCAATATTCGGGTTTCTACTCGTGAGAACAATATGCCGGGCCCCTTTGCTAACCATCCAGTAGCACAGGGACCGTCCAAGGTCTCCTGTCATGCCAGCTAGAAGATAGGTCTTGGTTCTAGATAATTCAATGAGGGATGTAGCAGGCTCAATTTGAGCCATTAGATGAGACGAGCTCGGCCTCCAGTCAAGCACTTGATCCGGATGAATAAGACATCCTGCAATAGAGTCAATGCTCACTAGCTCGTCCGGCCGTTTGCTGTCCAGCAGCCGAGCCGCCATGGCACAGGAACTCCTGAGAAGATTGTTAAGCTGTCCATCATCCGGATCGGGTGGGAGACATGGGGAGGATTGGTAGAGGCTTTTTAGACATTTTCTGATGGTAGTCCTTGGTAGTAGGTCCTCAATTCGGGCGAAGATGCCATCTGGTACTGGGTCTCTTTCGAAGGAGGCAGCAACAGACACATTCTGCGGCAATAGCCTCTCCAGCAAACGTGCTGACGTCCTCGGGTGTAAAAGCGTGGTATTCAGGGTTCTAGAAGCAGGGTTGCTGGTTGTAAACAACGGGGTGATATTCTTGCCCATTGCCTGGTTCCAGATTGCGTTGTGAAGGACTAGGCTAGCTTCATGAACGAGCAATGTAGAGTCCGGAGCGCTCTGATCCACGAGCCAGCCAGCTAACAAAACATCGGCGAGTGTCTTGAGGAATGCACCCCCTTGGCCCCGTTCAATCTCAGGCAATATTTCATCGGGAACCTGACACGTCCAGGCTGTTGGGATCTGTATGCGGTTTTCATGTCGGTCAGTTAAAGCAACCAGCAGAACACCCGTATTTTCTTCTTCCCCGATGAGCAGATGGAGTAAACTGTCCTCTATAGGTATTGCCCTGACAGTTGAATACAGAGCACGCACGCGGACAGACCCCTTCCTTTCCTGAGCTACAGGCCCATGTTGTCGTTCCCCCACATGCAGCTCATAGCGATCTTCTGTAACAGGAGCGACACGTAAAATTGAGCGTGGGTCCGTTGGTTCAACCTTTTTGGATACGTAACTCCTTGCCGAGAGATAACGTTGGTTCATGGCTTCCTCATTTCGAAGACGGCAAATCTGCATAGTGCCATTCTTGAAGTATAGCTCGTGTTCGGTCACATAAACATGGCTAGGCAAGGTATGATCATTGACATTTTTAGTATAGACCAAGCGCATGAGAGTGGTAGTTAGCAGCTCTACTTCGTCAGAAGCTGGGCTTTCAATATTGAGATACTGGTGGAGGGAGTCCTTGCGCTCGTACGCAAGTGATCTCAGCCACCCTTTGCTCATTCCCAGGTATGGGCATTCGCTCTCTGCGCCAGACGTCACCCAAAGAAGCTTTTTCGTGACGGGAATTAGTTGTTGAAGCGCTTGGAGGCGGGATCGAGTGAGATCTTTGAAGCACGGCCTGTCCATATCGACCAGGCTTAACACCGTTAACTGGGATGCATCATCTAAGGCCAGTAACTCGAGCGTAGGTGCCGCAATAATTTTGCAAAAGCGAGGTTTCAAAATATCGGAGATTCGACTAACAAGAGATGATGTTCTTCTTGTCGAACCACCGACAATAAGCAGATCATTCGCCTGCTGGAAGAGAGATTCGTGAAGAGGTGTCGCTAAGGGCTCACGAAGTAGACGAATTTGATCATCAACAGCCTGTGAGATAATAACGTCATATAAACAGAGTTTAGGATCCCCGAGACCATCACGCAAATCAACCCCCCCGAATCCTGTCTGTCGCAAGACCTTCTCCCAGCTTGGAATGTCGAGCATGGGACCCCAGACACGGCCATCCTCTTCACCAGCCCACCATCCCTCAATTCCACCCATGAGGAACGTAGTACGAATGGCATTGGTATTCGTGATCTCTAGCATAAATAGATACCCGCCGGGTTTGAGCAAGCGACGCACATGGGTCATCGTCTCAGTCATCGATCTCGTGGCATGGAGGCAATTGGCCGCAACAACTAGGTCGTAGGCGCCTTCCTTGAAATTCTGATGAGTAGGGTCGAGCTCAATGTTCAACGGCGAGAAGATAAAGCGGTCTGCATGTGCTGAGAAGTCAGACTTTGCCTCCTCGAAAAAGGCCACGGAGATGTCAGTGAAGGTATACGAGTGATAGGAGCGACCGATATTTTCCAGGATGGAATGGGTGGCGGAGCCTGTCCCAGCTCCAATCTCCAGGATTTTCATCCGTGGGAATCGGAAGGCAACCTGCCCGACAAGCTCGCCCAACCGGGAATTCATGATCCCCATTTCCATATCATGTCGATAGAATCGGGTGAGGATGTCATCCTTCCGAAGCTCTTCTAAGATCGAGGTTTCGCCTCGGAAGAAGCGGTACAAATTTGGCCCAACCACATTGGCGGCCTCGTCCATAATGGTCCCCGAAGTAATCGATAACAAGTGATCAAACTCCTCTTGCGTGGTGGATAGCCATTTCGCCGGCAAAATGGAGTGTTGCCCAGTTTCAGTCACAGACAGTATGTGATCGATCCATCTGGCCAGCCGGGAACGATGCCGGTCAAAGTTTCGTCGGTCATCTTGGGTCAAAAGGGCTTGAGCTCGCTTAATATATACCAGTGCAATTCGTTCCGCCACTAGTGCCTCAGTAGAGAATCCCACAGGCTCCGGGTAGGACGTTGATTCCGGTGTCAAAGGACCCCAGACAAGCTCAGAGAAAAGGAGACGCTTTTTATGAGGCTGGAGCAAAGGGGAAATCTTGATGCCTTCCATTTGAATGATTCCTGATCTCTCCTTCGTGAAAATTCCCACGTCTCCAGAAATGTCATGTGCATCGAGATTTGTAATGACAGCATCGGAGAGGAGTGTATCATCACCAGCTACGCCGCAAGCGACGGCAGGATTCACGATAATTGACTTGATTTGAGTTGGGACGAGAATAGTATAAAGCTCGCCGTCACCTGGAGATCCAAGGGCACCAAACACAGTCTGCAAGGCACAATCCAAGACTGCAGGGTGCAATAGAAACCTGTGGCTTGGATGACGGACATTTTTTACCTCGCCACGGGATATGTCTTTTGCCCTTGACAACCAACAGACACCTTGGAAATGACCGGTGTAGCCATATCCAATCTTGGATAGGAATTGATAGAAGTCATTTATATTGATAGAAGCCATTTTAATGGAAGCTGCTGGGTCATTCAACGGTGTCAATATGTCAGGTTCAGACTCGCCCCACGTCACCGTCAATCTACCGGAGACACGCATCTGCATCTTATCACCTGTGCTAGCATGAATATAAAATTTGGCAACCGTGGTTTTGTCATTGACAGTCGCATTGCAAATTCTGAAAAGCGTCTCAACGCCAGCGTATTCATCATCGGGGAAAACAATGGCTTGATGGATGATGAAATCGTCAAGTTTAATCAGCTGCAAAGCACGACTGCTGAGTAGACGAGAAGCCTCAATGGCCATGACAACATATCCTGTCGTCGGGAACACAATCTGCGATTGAATTTGGTGCCCACGGAGCCACTCCAGGTTCTTCTGTCTCAGATAGTGGCGCCAGCGCCATTCTCCATCGGCACTCTCCGGCTCCAGCGTGCCGAGAAGCGGATGTGGAATACCACGGTGTCGTAGGTGACGAGCCAATATGCGCGATTCGAAGAGATATGATCTCGTGTGATCGAATGGATAGGTGGGGAGTCCTTTTAGGGGATTTGGTTGATTCGGCAATTGGGATGTGCTATCAAATAGTCGGAGATAGCTCGTCAAATCAACCGCCCCAGGTCCTAGAGCACACCAGATAGATCCGACAACGGAGGCTAAAGCCTGTAGGCCGCTCGAGTTGCGACTACAAGGGGCCAGGTAGGGAGTATCTGGCGCTGAAGGGAATAGTTCTGCGATGATCTGTCGCACTGGTCCCTTGAGGGCATGGTGTGGCCCGACTTCCACAATAAGATCGGGCGGAGCGTCGTTCATGGAAAGCGCGTTTGAGACGGCCTGGTAGAACATGACGGGATTCACCATATTGTCGTTCCAATACTCGGCAGTCAGAGGAGACGTTTGATTGATCACGTCCGTACTAATTCCCGGGTAAACACTAGAGTACCAGTCTGTACCGATTGCAGGTTGAGGCTTGATACCGCACTCCTCTAATGCCCTCAGATACGGCCCCGAGCAAGGATACATGTGATGGGAGTGATATGCCGTATTCACCCGAAGCAGACGACAGAATCTCTCTCCATCATTTAGCATTTTCTCCAAACTCTGAATGGCATCGAAATCGCCAGATAACGTCACAAGTGATGGCGTATTGCTTGCAGCAAGCGTGACCCTGCCATCAAAGCCTGCACAAAGAGCCACGGCTTTGTCTGCAGAAAGTCCTGCAGCGAGCATTGCACCTGGCTGACCATTTTTTGCGCCAGACATAGACGTCACAAAGCCTCGCAAATGTGCAACTCTAATAGCATCCGTAGAGGTTAAGACTCCTGCAGCATAGGCAGCGGCAATCTCGCCAGAGGAGTGGCCAACCACGGATGCAAATGAGACCCCAATACTCTTCAAAAAATTCACAAGAACGATTTGAAGGGCAGTGCAGAGTGGCTGCGATAGTCTGGAATCCCCCAATGCAGCGGTAGGGTCGGACAGTTCTTCAATAATAGAGAAAGGCGGCCTGTACTTTGCTGGAAGCGTATCCAAGCCATTTTGCATTTCATCCAACCATCTTCGCGCTTCTGGGGAAATTTCAATCAGGTCCCATCCCATCATAGCCCACTGGGCACCCTGTCCAGTAAAGACTCCTAGTACTTGCGGCTGCCTAGGAGATCGGCGAGTGCTGACCCGTACGGACTTTCCCGTGCGTATTGCATCAATCTCATCTTCTATCTGAACGCGGAGGGCGTCTATGCTAGAAGCCCAGATGCTCATCCTAAATTTTAAGGCTGAGCGATGAAGAAGAAGAGATTTTGCAAAATTGACAAGATCCACGGTAGGGGTTTCGTTCAGATATTTGATGTAGCAGCGCAGAACAGCAACAAGGGACCGCTCTGAAGCCGCTGAGAACACAAATGGAATAACTGGAACATGTGGTGTAATGGGGCAGGGAATCGCCTTTTTGGTGATTCTGTTTTGACTGGAATCAGGCCCGTAGCTTTCAAGTATTGCATGAGCATTTGAACCGCCGAATCCAAATGAATTGACTGACACTCGACGTGGCACACCCGGGGGCAAGGACGGCCACGGCGTCAGTTTGGTAACCAAGTTCAAGTGTTGTGCGAATGGCTCCAATTCGGGATTCAATTTATTGAATAAGAGGTTCGGCACAATGTAGCCATTTTGCAGGCTTAAACATGCCTTCATGACACCCGCTAGCCCGGCAGTGCCTTCGGTGTGACCAATGACAGTTTTGATAGAGCCAACCAGCAGGATTTCATCTTGATTAGAAGACCTCTTATCTGAACCCTCCGTCTTGGGTGTATCAGGAAGGAAACCATTACTGTTATCAACAGCAGTATCCAGAGTAGGAGACCCAAAGAAAGCATGATGAATAGCCGACGCCTCTTGGGGGTCTCCAGCAAGAGTGCCTGTGCCATGGGCCTCAAAGTACTGGCAACGATCCTCGTATCGCAATGGATTGAGGCCCGCACGCGCGTAAGTATCTTTGATGAGCTGCAGCTGAGACACACTTGAAGGCATCGTCAGCCCCATCGTCCGTCCGTCTTGGTTGGTTGCTGTTGCTCTGATAATGCATTCAACAGAGTCACCATCCGCCAAGGCGTCGCGCAGCCTTTTCAAGACTATGGAAATCACTCCTTCCCCCCGAGCGTAGCCATCTGCCTCTGCATCCCACATTCGACTCTTCCCTGTTGGAGAAAGCATCTGGATTTTGGTTGTGGAGACGAATATGTTGGGCGCTTGAATGAGGTTTGTGCCTGCTGCGAGGGCCAGAGAGCATTCCTGCTGCTGCAAAGCGGTAACTGCATGGTGTAAAGCAACCATACTTGACGAACACGCAGTATCGACGACAATCGACGGGCCATGCCAGTCAAAGAAGTAGGAGACGCGGTTTGCAATGATACTTCGTGCGGCTCCCGTGGCCATGTACTGAGGAAGGTTCTTGTAGTCTACTGAAAGCAGCTCTCCCCAGTCGTTGCTCATGACTCCGCAGAAAATACCAGTAGATGAGCCCTGGAGAGTATCCAGGCGAAGACCTGCAGCTTCCAAGGACTCGTACACAGTCTCCAACAGCTGTCTCTGCTGCGGATCAATGCTTTCCGCCTCGGCAGCGGAGATATTGAAAAAGGACGCGTCGAATGGATGGGGGTCGTCGGAGAGATAGTAGGCTTCTTTGGTATTGGTTGTGCCTGGGTAGCTAGGGTCTTCATGATAGAAGGAATTCATGTCAAATCGAGAGCTTGGGGCCTGGGATGCCACTACCCGTGGACTCTTGAGTAGGTCCCAGAGGCGAGAAGGGGATGAAGCCCCCCCTGGCAATCGGCATCCGGTGCCAATGATGGCAATGGGCTCACCGGCCAAGGCTCTGGTTAACATGATATCGAAATTTCCTTCTCCCAGGTAATGTAACAAGATGATTTATGTCAGTGTAGTTTGATTCTGCTAGTTCATAACTCTTGGTCTCGTATACAACCTGATTTCCGAATGGTGGCCTGGCGCTTTATGAACAGAATTCGGGCCCTTCTTGCTCATGCCGCTGAACTTGCCAGACAACCACTATTGGTCAAACTAGGATATCAAGCTGAATCCTTAAACTTTTAAGGAGCCACTTTTGGAGCGTACAGAATCAGAGTCCGAGATAGAGCATCTAGGCCTTCGTGTTCGGTAAACATTAGGTTATTTATGAATGAAGGACCTCATGACCTTCTGCAGCCATCCAAGGGTACCAGATATGGTTGATTTCAAAAGCCTTTGCGGAATAGATTAGCAAGGATGAGCAAGAGGTCCAACACACACACACACACACACACACACACACACACACACACACACACACTTTTGTTAACCTCCGTTCTACTTACCTGAATTGGACCCTGCCAACTATGACCGCATGGAAAGCTAACTGGCAAGCCATGATAAACTAAGACACGAGTAATGTTGACCTAAGTAAACCAAATCCCGGATTTCAGGATGGACTGCATCGGCTTTCATACAGGCTTGGTTGTTCCTACAGGCTCATTGCATGATTATCTTCCGTTCAGCTCATCTGCACTCACAGCAGGGAAGCTATGGAAAGTACATCCAGAATATAGGATATTGAGATGCTGTGTAATCTCGTGTTTGAACTTGTGCTCGTAAAAGGAGCTGAATTTAATCCAAGGCATATTCTTTTCACCAACCTTTCTCTTCAATTTCTGGTCATCCAAATATACCACAATCAAAACAGCAAAGAAAATCACAAACTCAGCGCAGTTCTTGTTCTCGTCCAAATCAAATCATCAGCTAATTTCTAATTTCCATCATGATCCACCCAGTGATTCTCATCCGATACACATTATTACTTTTTCTAGCACCACTTGCCTTCTATACGGTGTGGATAGCCACCATCCAAAAGGGTCTCTCCGAGTTTTGGAATGAGGCCTATGTGACTGGGGAGCTTGCCGGAAGTCCAGATGCCACTTTATTAAAACTGTCTACCGGGGTTTGGGTCTTAAACAGGGGTATAGGGGCCATTGTACTGTCCTTCTGGCACATTTGCAGCGGTCAGAATCCATCTTTGTCATTGCTGGCAATGCCTTTTGCCGCTGCAAACGGTATATCATATGTCCTCTTGGCGCTGGAAGCCAGGAGAACAAAGTCCCTAGCGAGTGTGGCATGGAGGTTCGTTACGTATCCGACCTACCCTCTTTTATCTATGTGGCTAACCAAACTTGGTGGCTTGCTCATCAGACTTGGATGGTTTTGGGTCCTCCAGTTTTTCTACTCCCAGGCTTTGCTTCTGCCCATCTACCTTGGAATCACCCTGTCATCCGCGCGAAAAGATGCACGCTTCCACTCCATCCCTTACCTGAAGACTTGCTTGATCATAGGATACTACTTCTTTGCATTCCTGCTGGCCCTTCCCACGCCTTCCATAATATCACACCATTCCAAGCAGATCTTATTAATCACCGTTATAGGATGGTCATTGTGGATGATCCTCTTGCTCCTAACGGGATCGTACATCCACTCCAAGGTCAACGGCGTTGAAAAAGCTCCAAATTCAATCCAGGCGACTAAGTCCGGAAGAGACCGTCAGTCACTCTACATTTTTGCATTAACAACTGCAGCAATAACTCATATCGGCTCCCTTGTTCTTCCATTGTTACACAGGCCGCCTTGCGATGGCTGCGTTGACGACTTGCGCCCTGGGAATGTATATATCCCTTCACTCCCTTGGTCATTCGCGAAGTTTCCGACGATGACAGATGGGATTATCAGTTTTTTCCAATGGGATTACTTGATTGCAAGTCTCGCATTGCTTCTATGGGCTGTTGCAGTTTATATCAGAGACTATGGTAACAAGTCTATCAATTTCCGTCGGCTGGCTTTCGAAGTGGCGACTCTCTCGACAATTGTTTCTCCTTCTGGTGCGGCGGTTATGTTTATTTGGAGATTGGATAGGAGACTTTCTACAGAAGCGAAGATTGAATAGATATGGGATCGTCTCTATTTTCTAACTATTCATTTTGAACTGTTCGAAGAGGCAGATAGTATGTTGAATTAGTTATCCGTTTATCTCTGTTATAAATTGCAGATGGATGAGACAAAATTAGCTAGCCAAATTTGTTGAAATAAGAACTGTTCAAATACCAGATGATCGAGCTCGCAGAGAAAATGAAACAGCATATGCCACAATAATAATGAGCACCACACATATAATTGTAATCTGCGTTATACCAGGACTTTCAGACGGTGTCTCCCATCCGTCCCTACATAGAGCCTGCAATGGAACATAGTCCAAGAATGGTGCTTCGACAATTATTTTGCCAAAGGTCCGAGAAGCAGCATTCGGGGTGTATGGATAAACATATCGCCCGATGAACTTGGTCATCCAATTGCGGCGAGTGTGCGTGCGTGTTGCCGATCGAGAGATAGCATGGAGCACTCGAAGGCGTTTCCTTTGATTCTGAGCGTAACCCTGCAACAGGTTGTTCATATGATCTTCCGATATTTCCGGCATGCGGCTGATCTTACGAACGATATTTGCAAGAGCAGCTGCACCCTCGATAGCCGTATTTGCCCCCTGTGCAATGTTCGGCGTCATCTTTGACGTCTAGTCAGTCATGGGTCTAGACACGGATTGTAGGGAACAATCACCTACCTTGCTAACACTATCTCCAACGCACACGATTCGTCCGTAGTGCCACGTGTCGAGAAGGCCTTCTTGGAGCAATGTGGTTGAATATCTGGGAGTCCTGATCCATAGATCTCTGAATCTAACATCCCTGTAAATGGTCAGGTCTGCAGCGGCTTGGCCCATGGTCTGGACCTCCGCGTTCGACAACAGAGCTGAATCTGGTAAAATGTAACCCCTGTCGAGTTTCTTGATAAGGGCCCAGCCGATGGATGCATCCTTGCTCGGGAAGACGAGAATGGATTTATTGTCGTAACAGGAAATGATTTGATCCCCTGGGTTGATCCCGTCCACTGGTCGTGATATCCCGAACAAGCAAACGTATTCAGCGCGGAGCACTAGATTGAATTCTGTCAGCCCTCGTGTCACTGGTTTGGGGCTTGAGAGATATTATTTAGCCACATACCATGCATTTCTTTTTCGGTAACTAGACCTGCATCAACGGAGTTTGCCACATGCCACATCTGCGAGCGTGTTACACTATGAACCCCATCAGCGCCAACAACCAAATCACCGTTGAATCTCGTTCTTGAATCAGTAAAGACAGAAACACCATCCTGGTGATGTCGAATTTTCGCCACTTTGTGCGAAGTCTTGACCCTGTTTTTGTCTCGTAAAGTGTTATACAGAGTTTCGATCAATTGCTGTCGAGTGAGCACCGAGAGCGGATAGCCGAATCTAATAGTGACACATCGTTAGCCAGGCCTTCTAAGTTTTGGATACTAGATGGGATAGTCGGAAGAGCTTTCCTTTCCTGAATTGCTACAGGGAAACCATCACTAAAGACAAATCCATCGGGAAACGTCATGTGGGCGACTTTTACCGGGCACGCCACACCCTGCAATTGATGGTAGATCCCCAGCTGATCGAGAATACGATAGCCATTTGGCATCAGACCGACCGATCCTCCAATAGTTGCGAGTAGATCGTGATGTTTTTCGAGCACGATGAAATCGACGTTTGCTAACTCGAGGCAATGTGCTAATGTGAGACCGGCAATTGAGCCACCGATGATGATGACTTTGAATCTGGGCTTCTCCATTGAAGCTTTCTCGGTTGGCCTAGGGATAGAGATGATCTGGGTCTGGTAGGCGAACTGTCTGGATTATTGCGGTGACGGCGGTAGAAATAAATAGGCAATTTGTTTGAAAGACCTGGCAGCTCCTCCACGTGTACTCATAGAAGAAAGAGGCAACTAGTGCGACAGACCTGCAGGTCAGCAGCGACTTCTCAGCAGGGCCTCGAAAACTTTCCAGAGGGAATTATTTTCTCAATTACTTTTTGATTCCTTTCTTAGGGTTTTGGGCTCACCGACACAGCTGCATTCCCCTTCGCAAAAGCATCCACGGAAAGTTCTAGACATCACTTTGTTGTTTAGTCGAAACAATTTACCATCATGTCTTATCGACTTTTTATGACCAAACTCCAGTCTGCTCTTGCAGTCCTCCTGCTAAGCACTCTTGCAAACTTTACATTTAGCAGGATTGAAAGAACTCCTGAACTATGTGTATGTCAATATGGACCTTACAGTGGACGCAACCAGCAGTCTAATTGAACTTCAAACTCGGCACGCAGTGTGCAGATCTTCATGCAAGTGATATCAGCGGTAGAATAGCTTTCCCCAATACCATAACATACAATGAGTCTATCAACTCATACTTTGCCGTTAATGCTCGACTTCACCCGACCTGTATTGTTCAACCACTCTCCACACATGATGTCTCCGTGGCTATGCAGATTTTGGGGAGCTCCAGACGCTGTCAATTTGCCATCCGTAGCGGTGGTCACTCTACCTCAGTTGGTGGTTTGAATATCCAACCCGGTATCACCATCGACCTATCATTAATGAATCGCACCACGTACAGCCCAAGCACAGGGACTGCGTCCATTCAGCCCGGAGCTCGGTGGTCATCAGTATACAACACGCTGTTAGAACACGCTGTCATGGTTCCAGGTGGCCGCACTGCCTCTGTCGGCGTTGGAGGGTTTCTCATCGGGGGTGGAAATTCCTTCTATGCCGCTCAAGTTGGTATTGCGTGCGACAATGTTGAAGAATATGAGGTTGTTTTAGCGAGTGGAGAGATTGTAACAGCAAATCGGCATATAAACACCGACTTATTCAAAGCGCTCAAAGGGGGCTCCAGCAATTTCGGCATAGTGACAAGGTTTGAAGTCGCTGCATTTCCATCTCAGAACCTATGGGGTGGGAACGTCATCCATGATTACAATCCATCAACGCTCCAGCAATATATACCTGCCGCTATCAGCTTTACGAAAAACATTCCTAAAGACCCCTATGCCTCCTGGGTGGGATTCGTGGCCTATAACTTCAGCACTGACCGGACCGGTATCATTTCCTCGTTGGCTTACACAAGACCAGTAGAGCGCCCTTACGCATTCCGCGATTTCTATATGATTCCGAATATCACCGATACGTTGCGTCTCTCAAAAATAGTAGATTTAACAACTGAAAATTTATTCCCTTCAGGTTATCGGTAAGCTCAAATGTACTTCTCGCTTGGCTGGCTATGGCCAACTGTCAAATTTTCGCAGGAACGTCGTCCAAACGGGAACCTATCTCAACAGAGAAGAAGTTCTTCAAAAGGCCGTCGACATCCTTACCCACCAAGTTCAGGAAGCCAGGTCTCTGGCTCGGAGTCGGGACTTTAACCTTTATCTTATTGTTCAACCATGGGATCCCTTGTTCTGGAAGGACAGTGAAACCAAAGGTGGGAACGTGCTCGGGCTAGAGCGGTTTGATCAGGCCATGTTCAGTATGCTATAGCCATCGCCTTTTGCTTCACTGGGTCATAGCTGACAAATAATAGATATTCTCTGGGACTACAGTTGGGACAACGAGTCAGATGATAATCTCTTCTATTCCCTTGCCGAGTCCGCGAGGGTAGAGCTGGATGAATACGCCAAGTCAAGAGACGCGTATAATGAATACATCTATATGAATTATGCCGGTAGCAACCAGAACCCGATTCATGGATATGGACCGAAAAACTTGGCGTTTGTGCGGCAGGTGGGAAGGAAATATGATCCGAAAGGTGTTTTTCAGAAACAGGTTCCGGGGGGCTTTAAGCTTTGATGGATACGAGGATTGGACGAACCAGTCCATATATTATCTATATCAACTGTGAGTAGAACGATTCCCAGGGGCTTTTTCCTTTTTCCATTTCTTTTTCCGGTTTTTTTTTTTTTTTTTTTTTTTTTTTTTTTTGCTATTCTACATGCATACTATCTCGATGGAATCTATCTATAGTAGAAATTGACGGGGAGAGGAGAGAAAAAAGAAAGAAAAAGCAAATAATCTGGCTACCTGGACAAGCCATGTGTCGTCTACCCTACAGCAAAAATTGCCTTTTTTTTCGGCAGGATCCTAAGCCAAATATGCAGTGTGATTAATGTGTCACCTACCATACGAACAATCGTGAATCCAGCTCGGAAAGCCCAGGAACTGAGCTACGTAGAGGAGTGATTTATCGTAGTACTTCGTCAAACCCCTAAATGTTATATAAATGGACATTATCGTGATCCGTGTCCCCATTTTAAGATTCCTGTGGTCATTTTATTCTTATCCTAATCAGTAAATACTATTATGATCCATAAGATGAACCTCGCCCTCAGCGTAGGGTTTCTGCATCTATTCTATGCCTTGGCGTATGTCTTCATCCCCGACGACTGTGAAGCAATAACCGATGTAAGCGGCCCTCTTCCTGCCCGGTAAATGATTTCCATCAAAACTCAAGCCTTGTTCTATATAGGCCCGACTCCCGGTGCTATACAACATCTCTGCAACTCAAAAACTTCCATACAGCGAGGCCCCTTTCTCCAGCTTCGCGGGATACTCCTTCATTACAGCCTCCACCGGCGATCAATATTTCCTCACCACTGGAATTATAGCCTCCGAATCCATATCTGGCTACGGGAGCTCTATTCTAGACCTTCACAGCCTTCGGCATTATTCTTATTCCCAGTCAACATCCATTAAGAATGAGGAGCTTCTAGACTTCAACTTTTCCAAACCCAACTATCACTAGTCCAGCGTGACCCCAGATAACTTGAACATAGTCATCCGAAGCACCCAGGAGAATGTCACCTTCGATCTGACCCTCCACGCCACTTCCCGCGCACTCTACTACGGCGGCGGCGGCGCATATGCGTATCTCAACGACCCTACATATAACTGGGCACTCCCCGCGTGCGAAACCTCAGGAAACATTTCCCTCCCTCGGTCATCCTCCAGCGGAGCGCTCGAAACAATCAGCATTAACTCCTCCGCCTCATTCACCTGGTACGACCGCATGTGGGGCGCCCCGGCCCTCCTAAACAAGAACTCAACTTACTTCAACCTCTTCTTCGACAACAGTGAGCTGTTTCTCAGCACGTATGCGGTATCTAGAGTAGACCCGCCACTAAGGTCACTGAGCAGCAACATCCGCAGACGCAATGAGAGTGTGCATGTGTTCGCTCCTCTGGATATATTCACACCCGACGCACACGAGATCTGGACATCCCCGCGAACAGGGCAGATCTACCCTCAAAAATGGAAACTGGGAATCGAATCAAGGGGGATATTGGAAATTCAAAGTGTTTCCGGGGATCAAGAGACTGTGAGTCCAGGCTGGTACGGGACGACCTATCTTGGCTTTGTCACGTTTACTGGGGTGTTTGATGAGCAAGAGGTGACAGGGTTTGGTGCCGTTGAGATGAGATATGTTTTGCCTTTGCCACAGGTTAGCCAGTAGTAGGCTGCGTCACTATCCGCATTATCGTACGATAGTTATCGATCGATCGTATCCAAGTGCCGATAACGATAGATTTTCATTATCGATTATCCGCAGCGGACACGATACTATAATTTTTCTTGAGCTCAGCGGATATCATACGATATCCGTCGGATCATAAACATTACAAACAGCCCAAGACTCGTGATCTCGTGGAGCCTGCATAGATTATGCAGTTTTTCTGGTATTTTTTGTGTATCTGCATGGTATAACATGATCGAAAAATCGAGGACTTTGGGTGCAGTTTCATTATTTAATACTTAGCAACCTGTACACTCTTTGATATTAATATGAAGGTAACCTGAGGGGCACTGCATTCAACTAATTTATATAATTTTGACTATTTATATCAGATTTTTTTTTTATCTCAAAGCCATTCGGCATCTTTGGCCTCTTCCGAATCCTCCTCGATCGCCCCTGCGTAGCCTCCTCAGTTAGCATTTCAGGAAGAGGAAGGCTACCATCATCACTGTCTTGAGACTCAATAGCCTCATGTGATCTCTTACTGTTGGAACGATGTTATCAACCAGACCAGAGAGGTGGAGTATCTTGACCTAATCCACATACCGCACAGCACCTTGC